TCAGTTCGCTGCAACTGGAGATACACTGAAAATATTTGTTAACACCTGAACAAGTAGTATCTGTCTTATCTCCTTTGTGCCTTCCTGCTGCAGCAACTTCACTAATGCACCATTTTTTACTCCCTATTCAGTCCAGCAAAACCAGTAATAACCAAACATGAAGTACCATAGCATCCCCTGTGCAATGGCTCCACTGCTCAGAGGGGCAGCTCCAACCACGGAAAATGCCTCACTCAGATCCCAAATTCTGTATTTCCTCATCTTACACACCAGTTTGCAGCTCACACAGATGAATGAGAACATAAACATATTTCATGATCAGATTGGTAGCAAAATCAAGGTCAAGTGCCTTTTTTTAAAAATCATGTTTCTGCACTGTCCCACACAGGAGGCAAAAAGGTTTTCTTAACTAAAACATCCTGTAATTGCATTTAAAAGAGAAATCTTTGGAGTTTCAAAGTGAGCTGGGCTAATATGTCCATGCCTCAACCAAACCACATAGCTGCATGCTGTCACTCTGTACTTTACTTTGCCTGCTTCATACCAAAGCCAGTAAAAGAGTTTTTCAGCCTTTATGTGTGATTTCTAACTGAATATACTACAAGTTGCTCCCAAATAGCCTAGTTCATACAACTCAAGAAGCCCAACACACTTTAAATCACAGCTGTATTTGAAAAATGATAGTCAACGAAGCAGTGTGAAGAGAAATGGAGACACTTGTTTCAATTGCCAACAGCTCAAATTCAAAATAAAATCCAAGTTAAATATAGCAGTGCACCATACTGCAGCATATGCCAAGCAGGCTATAGAGGAATGACCACACACGGTCTTATTCTTTAAGTCATGCACAGAAAGGCTATTAAACAAGGACAGAAAGTTTATCTCTAAGCTATTTCCCACTGAATTTTACAAAGGCATTGAGAATTCAAGAAAGGAACTGACTACAGGATATCAGAGGACAGTATCTGCCCCTGAAGCAGCAGCATGCTAACCTTTATGGATTCTGAAATGTGAATTTCAAAGGACAGCTCAGAGCATGGATTAGCCATTGACAGACATGCTCTACCACATGAAAAAGAATCCACGTCTCTCAGAGGGTGCTAAACCTCAATGTCCTCCACTTCGTGAAGGCAACAGCCAGTGTTTCAAGTCTGAATGCCCAGAACTGGGTAGAGCTTGATGACAATACTGAGAAGAGCTGAGCACACCTTGCCTTTCTGTCTGACATGGAAGTCCATTAATTGATGTGATACACTTCAATTCACTGAACAGGGGCTGTATCTAAAGAAATTTGGGGCGCAGCAGCACAGTCATTCTGTAGCACCTGCCCAGTGAAACAGCACCTCTGTTTAATGCTGCTTGTAAGCTTCCTTTACCACAAGGACTTCTCAGAATGTCATCTGTATTTTCAAATCACGAACTCAGCCTCAGCAATTGAGAAATAACCTTAATTCTGAAAACAGTCTTGGGTCTGACCAGCAACACTAAGAAATCTATTTTTGCAGGAAATTCTTGATTCTACATTGCACCTTTTGTTACAAATTTATCATATTTGATATGCAAAGTTATGCATATTTGCTAATACCAATGAAACGAACAATCACCGTTTCATGATGTGTATATGAGAATGAGACCATCTATTAGTCTATAGAGTGAGGAAACTACAAAATTCTTACCAAAGTTATTTGTAATTTCACTACAATTCATACAGCATTGGGTTTGAACTATGTCACAGATCAAACTGAAACTAGAAAAATGCACTTGACTCACAGTTAATATTGTTGTAGTACCCTAACAATTTTATTTTAGGCACTGATTTACAATGTGATGTATTATATGTAACCCGCATTTGCTGAATGAGGTATTGTGGTTTTGCTTTTGTAAAGCAGCTTTAGGAATAAATCTGGATACACTATCAAACATTCTCCCAAATAATGATATGTTCTTTGTTCATCAGTGCCATGACACCCACCACTGTAACTGCGCCAGAGTAAGAAATACCATTTGACTGAATTTTACAGCATATTATTGTGCCAGGACATGCCACTGAAGAATCATAGAATCAACCGGATTGGAAAAGACCTCAAAGATCATCAAGTCCAACTCTACCGTCATTACTAGACCATGGCACTAAGTGCCACACCCAGTCTCGTCTTGAAAACCTCCAGGGACGGTGAATCCACCACCTCCCCGGGCAGCACATTCCAATGCCTGATCACTCTCTCCATTAAAAAAATTCTCCTCCTAATATTCAACTTAAACCTCCCCTGGCAGAGCTTGAGTCTGTGCCCTCTTGTCCTCCTGCTGGTTGCCTGGGAGAAGAGACCAACCCCCACCTGACTCCAACCTCCTCTCAGGGAGTTGTAGAGGGTGATAAGGTCTCCTCTGAGCCTCCTCTTCTCCAGGCTGAACACCCCCAGCTCCCTCAGCCTCTCCTCATGGCACTTGTGCTCGAGTCCCTTCACCAGCCTCGTTGCTCTTCTCTGGATCAGCTCCCGCACTTCAATATTCTTCCTGAACTGAGGAACCCAGAACCGCACACCATACTCAAAGTGTGGCCTCACCAGCGCTGAGTCCAGGGGAGAAATCACCTCCCAGCTTCAGGCAATTATGTTGCATGATACAATTATGTATCATGAAGGCTTAACAGACCTGAAATAACTGTTAGCAAAAGCATTATCACCTTCTACCTTCCATTACTCTCCTGTAACATTGCAGCTTTTCACGTTTTTCTTTCTTAATACAATTATATTTATAGAACATACACCTTATAGACCTAGCTGTAGAATTTACTCCTTTCCCTAAAATGCTGAGAAACTTACCAACACATTCAAAGAAGTTCAAACTACTTTTTCCAACATACAGAATTGTGTCCATTACAGTGCTTGGACACCTTTGGTTAGGTTTTCTGGTTAAAACCAACAAAATGCAGAAGGAACAATGCTGTGGAATTCTGCTGACACTCATAAACCAGGCTGCCCACTCTTTTTCCCGCAGCACTACCAAGGGTGTGAACCCACAGGCACCTTAGGGAATTATCCCAGGTTTTCTAGATAGTTTTTCTTAACCTTAGGTGTATTATTGACTTTCTAAACAGTATCCAATCACTGACTGGAACGAGGCTCAGCCTGATTTGTTAAGGAGCACAGTCCAAAAGTGGCAGACATGCTTTTCACCCACCCAGATGGGGATCACACTGGCCTTCCTACTGAGGACCTATGTGTTCCATGCTCCAGGACATCAGTGTTAAAATACACACAAGCCCAGACCAGCAGGATTTGCTTCTCTTTGAGTGGCTTCCAGTAGTTTACCCCACTCAGTAACAGCTTCAGGCGGACCTAGAAAACCCTGAATCTGTATTTTAGCTTTAGTACAGAATTAAGGAACTCCTTAGGTCCTACTGGTCAGCTTCAGATGGATGATGAACAGCAGTGGAAGTGGATTTGTGTCAGCCTATGAAAAACATAGAGGTGTACCCGTTATACCATTAGTAGTGGGCCAGAGGCTGCAAGACAACAAACAGGGAAACACATACCAGCAATTAGAAAGGATCAGACTTAAAGCACCATCCATATCCTCCACATATCAGTTATCTGCAATTCGCTATGCAGTACACCTCTGTAGAGCCTGCATTTGTAAAATTCCAGTCACACTCCAGTTGCTCCTCTCAATTCTTCTGCCTTTGAAAAAAAAATGGAGAACCACTGCTGCCAGTAAAAGTGTATGTGCCACTACATGGCTCCTACTTGAATAAACAGGAAATCCAAAAACCTATTCTGATTAGCCAGCTATACTGAGGGTAGGTAGAAAGTCTTGAGGACAGCAACATAAATGAAAATAGAAGATTCAGCTTCTTTTGAAGACATTAACAAATAATTCACACCAAGGATGATAAGTGTGTACATTTTCATGTTTAGAGACAACAGACTATGTTTTAAGCCATAACAAGGATGACACCCCAACAACACTATCACCAGTGTCATGCTGTAAAGTGGAGCTTGTCCTATTCCATACCTTCTAAATGTTACAGCCTTTGCATGCCCTAAGGGACCAGTTAATAAAAGATCACTACAGAAGTAAATTACTTTCTACCTCATTGCAAGTTTCTACTAAGTAAAAACCTAATGATGGCACCTCCCCACAGCAGGGCATTTACTGTCTGTTCCACAGAGGGCAAGTAGGACTATGAATCTGATGGCAGTAACAGAGGCACCAATCAGAAAACAGAAACATTAGAGAATTGAATGGGCAAGGCTGGGAAGAATTTCTCCCTACCATGCACATTATCTCCATAAGCACAAATGATGGCACCAAACAAGGCTTCTCCTACTACACCCTTCCTTTTCTACTCATCTCTCTGTAAGAGATGCTTCTGAAAACCAAAGTTCACTAGGAGAATAATTAAAATCCTAATTATTGAGAGCAAACGATGCTTGAAACAGATGAGTAGGCATGGCAGACAAATATTTTCAGGAATGCAAGTTTTCATTAAAACGCCTTCCTTCTTGATTGCCTTGCTACTTTAGGTAGATTGTCCTTGTCAGAGTGAGATTCTATGAACTCCTCCACAATACTGGGTTCATTCACAGAACTACCTCTTTTAGCAAAAAAACCCCACGTAACTCTCTGATATAACTGCAACCCTTTCCTGGATTTACTGAATTCTCTAACACCTGGAAATAAAGAGTTAGGGTGTGAAACACAAGCATTTAAAACCATTTCCTCTTCTCTCTCAAGAACATAAAATACAAAAGAGCAATATTGTTTATAGCCATCTCCCTTATGCTCATTCATCATAATCTTGATAAATTGAGTAGACTTGAATAGGCAATACAATTCAACTAGAACATGCCTAAGTTTGAATACGGCCATCAGCATCCTTCAGATTGGAAAATCTGCCAATAGACAAGAGAAAGGAAGGAGAAAACACAAACACAGTTCACAATCGCATAGATCTGGAATACTCAACACATGTTAAGCAAAACCAAACACCCACCTACCTCAGATTTGGAGGATGTGTTTTCCTCCACATCAGAATCACTTGGATCTACAATATCATCAAACGGTGGCAGAGTAGGCGTCTTCCTTTCCACTGCATCACTTTCAATTTTAACTCTCCCCACCTTGATTTGGGATCTATCCTTTGTCTGTTTTTTGTCAGCTGAACAAGTAAGAATCAGTGGTGGTGTGCTAGAAAAACTTCTAAATAATGAATCTGAGCTGGGTTTTTTTCTTTTTTTTGCAGAAGGTTCATCAGAGTCTGGCTGAGAGGGCCTTTTTGTCAGAGTCTTCTTTTCTTGCTGCTGCCCACATGTTATGGTAAGGATGGGGGTGTTTTCAGATTTTGGCTCCTTGGACATGGGTTTGGGTTCCTTGAAGGCCATCTTAGGAACTACTTTTTCATCTTTTAGTGGTTTGTTTTCTTTGGGTTTCTTAGAGGATTCTTTGGAAGATTTGTTATGTTCCCTGGAAGGTTCTTTGAAGGCACTTTTATGTTCTTTTGAGTCTTTAGAAGTTTTTTCTTTGTGCTCCTTTGTTAACTTGTGGGTCTTTGAAAAACTGTTACTACTGCTGCTGCTGCTATTTGTGTTCAGAATCCTAGTTGGGTCCTGCAAAAAGGAGATGAAAAAATTCTACTCAAAAAAGAAAATACCTTTAAAGCCCCCAAAAGCAGCCACAATATGGACAAAGGAGTCATACGAAAAACTTGGAACTATAGGTGGGAAAACAGAAATACCTACATAAGAACAGATACAAACACCAATATTTTGGTCAAAATACCTGTTACAAACTGGTAGAACATGAGGAGTTACCACTGCTTATCAATATTTGCAAGACAAGTTAGTTTTTATCTCATGCTTTATACATGTTTTCTCAAGAAGCATCGTAAGATGAACATAAAGGCAGTTTAGGAAATGTTCACCATCCCCATTAGCTATCAGAAGAAAAATTGTAAGGTAAGAGGAAGATATGAACCATATGACATCAACAGAACTACTACAGGATCATAGCAAAACACGTGCTCCTGGATGACTTCTCTACTGTGATCCTCTGCCCAGCTTTTGCCAGATCCTTTTCATCATACGCAATAACAACTCTGGGTCCAGCCTGGCTATGGAGGATCTGACTGGACCAACAATAGTCAATGTCTTTTTATGGAAAACCTCCTTTACTAAAAACCTTCCTTCTTTGTATTTATCGTTGGTGTTGCTACTGAGTATTTGATTATGTTTTTAAATTCGGCTGTTGTGAGAAGTGTTTCTGATAGGGTGATGACTCAGAGATCCCATAAGACAGGCAAAATAAGGAGGAGCAGAGCAGCATCATTCCTCAGTTGAATCTGAGAAGCTGAAGTGGCAAGGAAAGTGGTGATCTGTAGCTGGAACCAGCAGTAAGGGAACTGGCAACAGAGGAACCATCCAGAATGGGTCATATGGGATCCTTTCTTCTGAGAATTAACACCTGGGAATTTTCAAAAGACATGGAGGGTCCCAGCCTACTTTCACTGAAACTGCCAGCAGTGGGCTCTCAGTATCTCAAAAACACCCAGCAGACTAACCGTACTGTTATACACACTAAACACCTGTAGCACTCCCTTCAAAATAAGCTTCATTTTTATACTGCTTGAAATTTGCAAAGTGACATTTCAATTTACAAGAACCTACAGTCAAGAAGTTTAAATTGCTTACTTTCTACCAAGCCGATTATAAGCATTTCTGTCTACATGCTGCCTAGCACCTGAGAAACTTCTAGAAAGAAACACTTCATTGTGTATTGCATATACCCATTGATTTCCTTTTCCTTTAGCTCAAACAGATGCGTATGTAGTAAAAGTGGTTATGTCTGGCTGCCTAACACTGCCACAGATTTACAGAACTGCAGAGGGGAAGACACATGTAGCTTTGCTTCCCCCTTACTCACCCACCTTTTACCCACATAGAGAGGACAGCAGGAGTGTGCTGGAAAGTGAAGGACCGAAGCAGGACATGCCCAGCCTCATCCTCCACAGGAGTTGACTGATTTTAAAACACTACACTCAGTAGAACTGCCCTGAAAAAAAAATGTCCAAGAAAACAAAGGAGAATTCACCTATTTAATGGAAATCGTGTCAATTGGAGGAGAAATTAAGACTAAGATGACATCCCCTGATCTGCTCCTTGTTGTTAGGTAACTACCTATAACTTGTTCAATCAGGATGTGTTGAGCCAGTGTTTTATGTTGTAGGACCTGAATGGTTTACACATAAAACTTGTGCAACAACTGCAGTATCTCCCCTCTCCTCTGTGGTAACAGGTGGAAGCAATTAAGTAAAAACAATTACTCTGAAATGTGATTTGCTTCTTGTTATCTTATTTACTAAAACACTGAGTTTTCACACAATGCTGCACAAGATTATTCAGTTGTGCTTTTTCTTCAGATGCTTCTTGTATCAGTACTGCAAATCTACTGAGTCAGATTTGGAAATCTAACTACAGATCTTTATAATATATATGCATCAATATTAATAATATGCAGAAGCATCAACAATGAAAAATAGTATAATGACATCTGAATGTCTGAACATAAGGCACTTACACATTTCCCAGGCCAAAAATTCAAAATAAATAAATAAATAAATGGCATTAATCATTCCTAGAGATGTTTTACTTCTGTCACAACCTTTCCTATGGTTTTTTTTCAAAACTGAAAAAAATAATAAAGTTGCCTATTTTGTTTGATGCAAGACCAGCACCAAAGGTTGACACATAAACTAACTGTTAATGCTTTTAGCTTCACATCTTGTTCTACCATGCCAGAGCTGTAAGAGTTGCCCTGGGAAGGAATGAAATATGTGCCATTACTAAACTAGATGGGAGTCCTTATCTTTCCTACTGGTCTCCTTATCACATTATTCTAAATTGCTTCAATGGAGACTCTTATTTTACAGGTTTTCCAGCAGGTCCTGGGGCACAGTAGTATTAAAACCAACAGGAACTTGAGGTCTGTCTTGTCTTTTCAGTTTTAAAACCAGACTTCTTTCCTCTTCCTACAACATGGAAGTTGATACTTGATAGAAACCACAGTACAAGTATATGATGTACTTACGATACTTATTTATACACCCCTCTCACAAGCTCTCTTAGAGTTACCATTTCAGTAAGACAGCCAACCTATTGCTTTTGTATTTACATTCATTCTCTAAGTAAAAAAAGTATCTTTTCTTCCTTCCTAAATTTCTGCAATGACCCAGACAGAAGCCAACAATGACATAGAGCAAACAGTAAGAGGAACACAAAATGTGTAAGACAGAAAAAGAAGTCAAATCATACTACTAAATGACATCAAACCTAATGATGAACATGGAAGGCTGGTGGGCATAAAAAGTGGCTAACTGTTCATATCATGGACAGATCGCATTGAAAATCAGAATGGACTTATAAACCATTTTCTTATTTATCAGAATCTTAACAGTGTGTTTAAATATTTCTTTTCTTTCCCACCTTTAAAAGTGTTGCAAGAAATAAGAGTAAATGAAGAATTTATAAAAAGAGGGACAAATAAAGGCTTTTCTCAAGTTCATGTGAAAAACTGAGATCGTGGAGTTTTGACAGGTAATACAGTTGCACAGCATAGCTTACATTTGTGTATTCATCAAATATTGAAGCAACCCAAGTGAATGCCACATTTTGATACACTGCATAACAAACACCAAAAAAATCATCCTGAGGATCATATGCATCTTAAAATACCTGTAGATGTTCCCTTTTCTTAACCCAAGTAACACTATGTACACTCAGTACTTTGAGACACATAGTACTGCTCCAAGAAAGAAGCTAACATGTCTTAAAAAATATGTATTTTAGTAATCACAATAAAGAAAAAACTGTTCTACTGTGACTCAGATTTTGGCTAAAACAGCTCATGCTCAGGCCTGAGATGCATGTTCAGAGCAGAGAGAGCGTAGTGGAGGCAGGACAGGTGACAAGAAAGAGCTAAAGGTCCATTATGCTGCCATGATCACCTGAAAATTGCTGTCTCCTGCAGCCACCATCTTTGACAGTTTCATTTAAATCTGCTAACTTATAAAAATTACATAAACCAAAATTCCAACCTGGAAGGCATAAAACATTAGCTTCCCAGAAGAACTCCAGCTTTTGAAGTTGATTCAACAGCAGCTGGACTGCTTAGGTTTTCAGGCTTCCCACTGTGATACAGGAGATACCCACACTGTGACCAGAGGAGGAAGGATGAGCACTTGCACTCTCAGCTAGGTAACTAATTTTACTTTTTTTATGGCTCCCAAGCGCATGGATTAAGATCTACAGGTTATGAGTTAAGAAACTTTATTACTTGAGTGGTGAATGAGTGTATTCACATAATAGACAAGTCTGAGCAATGGGGAACAATCCTGTTTGTTGTGTGGGATCCCACCCACGGGAGACAGCCTTCCTTGAACTTCTCCAACATGGGTCCTTCCCACAGGCTGCAGTTCCCCATGAACTGCTCCAATGTGTGTCCCCTGTGAGATCACAAGTTGTGCCAGCAAATCTGCACCATGACAGGCATCTCATAGTCACTGCCTCCCTCAGGCATCCACCTGCTCCCATGTGGGGTCCTCCACAGGCTGCAAACGGATCTCTTCTCCATTGTGGACTCATCCACAGATCACAGTCCATTCAACTCAAGTTCAGACTGGAGTTCCAGTCTCTCTAGTACAGCAGCATGGGAACAGCATCAATGCCCTGGTCATGGGTCCTTCCCACAGGCTGCAGTTCCCCATGAACTGCTCCAATGTGTGTCCCCTGTGAGATCACAAGTTGTGCCAGCAAATCTGCACCATGACAGGCATCTCATAGTCACTGCCTCCCTCAGGCATCCACCTGCTCCCATGTGGGGTCCTCCACAGGCTGCAAACGGATCTCTTCTCCATTGTGGACTCATCCACAGATCACAGTCCATTCAACTCAAGTTCAGACTGGAGTTCCAGTCTCTCTAGTACAGCAGCATGGGAACAGCATCAATGCCCTGGTCCTCTGCCAGCCCAGGTGCATCCCTGGTGATCAGCAATCCAGCAACCAGCAAACGCAACCACTAACAAGCACTAGACTCTAATATACAGTCAGGAAAGCAAAAGGCAAGCCCCATGGGAAGCACGAGAACCTGCTCATTACTAGCTAAACATCACTAACAGCTGTAAATTCAATCCAATACACCCCAATCAAAGCTGTCTTTATCTTGAAGCCTTTGTCCTCCATGTTGGGAGCCAAAAAGAAGTGTCATGCTTTAACCCCAGCAACAGCCAAGCCCCA